ATAAATAAGAAAAAATATCGAAACATATCACTTATAGAAAGAATAAATTCTGCTTAGCGAAGCTTATATTTCTGGAACAAGTAGGTGTGTCTGTGTCCTGCCTCAAAATAGACGTAGCCCTGCGGACAGCGGCAAAGCAATCCTGAGTAGCACTCAGGACATGATGCACCGTATCCACACGAAAGGTCGGAACCGGTGTCCTACGCATGACCTGAAACAGGCACACTAGGAAGCCTGGTCCTTACAGCACAGCGCGGCTAGTTCTGCTGTTCCCGTGGGGAGCTACAGCACCACCTACAGACCACGGACACGGCCTTTCCCCTCCCCTAGCAGCTGCTGAACTTCCCTGGGTATGGAAGATTCATCGCTGTAAAGAAAATGAGACTAGAAATTAATCATTTTTCAGAAATGTTTTGAATTTAACATGTTTAGATGACAGAAGTCAAATCATTTTCACATCCGACTGGAGATGAAGTATGCAGAAAACATAAAATACTTTCGCCGATATCTGCCAGAATCCCTTTAAAGGGCTGCATGGACATGGGCTTACACTGTGCCAGGATCCTGGTCAGCCTCCTGTGTCAGAGGTGGCGGGGTGGGGCGCCTGGATCGGGGCGCTGCACCCATCGGTGGATTTTCGTACCCGTGAGTGCGTGGCTGAGGTGCTGCGGGGAGGCGGGGCCTTAGAAGAGGTGGATCCGGCAGCACAGACTGGAAGGGTTTCTCTCCCCTCCGCCTCCCCCTTTCCCACTCTGCTTCCACCGGCCTAGGCCTGCCTCGAGGGGAGCAGCCTCTCCGGGTCACACCCTTCCGCTCAGTCTGCCTTAGGCATGGCCCTCCTTAAGCTGCAGGTGTTGGGTATTTTGTCCCAGGGAGGAGGACAGTGTCTAAGACGGGGTCATGAAATCAACCTGTGATACGAGAGCAGTGACCGCCTTTGAAAAGTACCGTGAGAGAGACAGTATCACTTATTCTAAGAATCAAGAGTAAGAGAGACAGCAGAGATCCGACACTGGTAAGTGTACAGTTCTCTAGGCTCAGATGAAGGACTAGAAAGACAGAAGTGTTTAACCAGGCAACATCTGAGAGTGTCTAAGAATCTAGCACTCAACAATTTCCAATGGCAGGCCTTATAGTAACTTCTACATGACTATGTGTTACAGCGGGGGGATGAGCAACTCAATTAAAGAAATTCTCCACAGCCCATCTTTGAAAATATAATAAATATGAAATAGAAACATTTGGCTTAAGCTAAACTGTGACGGTGCCACAGGGATCGTACACAGTTCAAAGGATCAAGAAGGCTGAGAAATCAGAGCTCCAATGGTTCCAAGGGCAGTCCTAGGTCAGAGAGAGAGGGAGGCGCAAAGAGGAATGGTGAGCAGGGAGACTTTCCTTTTGATTTTTTAAAAGAATTTATTGGAATTATATACCAATCTAGAATGCACTATTGTGATATACCCTATTTTGTTATAAAAGGAATATTCCTGTTTATGAAAAATACTGATCTTTTAAAAAATGTTTTCTAGTCAATATGACACAAAGAAAAAACAAATAACCAAATTCTAGACACCAGAACCTTATCTTAGTTTGCTTGATTCAATTTTATATTAAATATGCTTAATACTAAGAGCTTTTTAAAAAAAAAAAAGTCTCTAGTTTTCGGTGGTACATGAAGTTGGGAGAAAAGGAATTGAGAGATCAAGGTACTTGTCTATTTTAATATTTCAAGCCCTCAAAACAGCAAATAAATGTTACAATCACTCAGGAACTGCGAGCTACAAAGTGATGCGCTGTAGAGCACAGCTGAGTATGAAAAGTCCCTCTCTTCAGTCTACAGAAACAAGATACACCAAAGAATTTGCTGGAGCCAAAAGAAATTTTTTTCTTCACGCACTTGTCAAAAATAGAATTATATTAATAATTTCATTTGCTCACACAGAAACACACTCTGTTTATGGCGCCCCCCCCCCCGCTTTTCTACAGAGGTAGAGGAACGCAGATGGGAGGGAGGCATCCACAGGAAACCTCCGCATGCAGGTATCTGCAGCCCCTAGCACGGGTGTGACTTAACCAAGCACTGCACGCTGAGTGAGGGTCAGCACGCGGGTGAAGGCGCGCCCCCGTGTGGCTGGCTGCGCACGCTCAGGTATTAGAACACGCTGCAGCACACAGAGCTCAAAGCCCTTGCCGGGAACTGGTGTGTGTAAAAACGCCTCTAATTCCTCTCTTCCACCCATCTCGAGACTCCCTTCCCCTCTAAGAACGTTCTAGCTCCCCTACCTCCTATCACCTATCTTTTATTTTGTCCTTCATTTATACTCTGCTTTCATACAAGAGAAACCATGTAATACTGAAGCTTGTGCATCTGATTTATTGCACATGACATTATGGTCTCAAGGTGTGTCCATCCCACAAATGACTCCAACTATCTTTCTTTAATATAGCTATATATTGAAGGAAACAGAATACAAGATCTTTCAGGTTCTCCTTAGGAAAAAACCATACCTTTCAGCTTTCTCTTGATTTTAAGCAATTTATTCCTTTAAATAAATGCATGTTTGATAGCAGCAAGTATCAGAATTATCACTGCTTGTAAGGGGATTGGTATTCAAATAAATGTTAATCTCCGTAGAAATTATATTGGCAGGCACATTAAAAAGAAAAAAGAAAAGACAAGACAGCAGACAAGACAAGGAAGGTTACTGGGCACGATGCCATACGCCTATAGTCCCAGCCATTTGTGGGAGGCTGAGGCAGGAAAACTGCTTAAACCATGCCTAGACAACATAGTGAGATCCCTGAAAACAGGAATGGAGAAAAGAAGAAAGAAAAAAGGAAAGGAAGAGAAAACAAATGAGCATGCTTTGGATTTACTTGTAGGAATAAAAGCACAAATTCTGGTTTCCAGAAAATTCAGGAGAAGGCTTCCCAGACATGAGGTGAGAGTCATAAATTTCTGGGAATGACATAAAATATGATGTATTTTAGTAGCTGGCACTTCTCCCACAATCTGTTCTTTCGAGATGAACAGATTAAAGAGCATGTATGAGCCCTTGCCAAAGGGCTGCTTCCAAATGAGTCCATTCATAAGCAACATCCCCTCTAACACAAAATCCACCAGGATAAAATCCAGCCAGGATTCTACATCAAGACGGCAACCCGAACACACTTCTGACTCCTTTCTTTCCTTACAAGGGAAGGGGAAGTTTTGAAAACACAGCAGCAGGCCACGATCAAAGAACAGGAGACCAAAAACCAGTTTTGTATGCTGGAAGTCAAATGCCGCAACCATGAGGAAGCAGAACCTGATGTCTTTGCCAAATACAACTGAGAAACATCCGCTCGTCCGCCTGGGCATCCCAAGTGCAGCCGATGTATCACCTGCTCTGCACCGGCCTGGGGCGCACCAAGCTGCCAGGAGCTAGCAAGGTGCTCAGCCCGAGGGAGCTACCCGCACCGGCAGGGTGCAGGCACGAGTGAACGAGGTCACAGCCTATGACGATGCGCACCCCTGAACAGTCAGAATCCCACACAGGACTTCACGTAGACATCACAAGTCTGACCCAGGTCGTGGTTCTGCATCTGTAACTTGCTAGCACACGCACATACTTTAAACGGTCGTCCTAAACACATGCCACACAAACTCGAACGCCTTCCGACATCCAGTCTCAAGAGCAGGTCCCTGGTTTTCTTCAAGAACACAGGGCTCAGAGAGCTGGCAGAATGGGGGCAGACAGACACCCTGGGCTCAGGCATGGGTGGTGTGGGTCCCAGAGCCTTGCTAGAGATGATTCTCCGAAGAAAGCGTCTCACTCCTCGTTCCCACCATGCCGTGGTTATGGGCTCCGCCTGTATACCTCAGCCCCACGGCTGATCGGCTTTTCACTGTCTTCTCGCCCAGCCTCACGGTCAGAGTAGGAGCAAGCTCACTGACATGACAACGTCACCAGCGGCCTCTGACAATGTCTGCTGCACACAGACACAAGCTTCATGGGGTGAGCGCTCATGGAAAAGTCAACAGAAGTCGCCCTCTTTGGAAGACCACTCCTACCTTCTTTTTGGTCATAAACTGAGCTAAGACGTTACACGTAAAAGAGTTTTACTGGGACATTTCATTCAGAGCATTATTTTTAGACTCTCGCAGGCATGAAGGAAAACTTTCCCAACTTTTTTTCCAATAAACACTACAATCTGTAAATTCGGTACACTTCTCGGCCTGCAGGCCCGCTTCCCACCACACTCACCGATGTCGTCGTCCGTCCTGTCGACCGGGTCCTTCTCCAGGCAGTCCCGCACAATGTCTCTGCTCATCAGAGGGTCCGAGGCCCTCTCGATGTCTTCCTCGTCCTCGTCATCCTCGGAGTCCACCGCTGTCTCCGGCAGCCCACTCAGGTCCATATCCCCGGCCTCGCTCTCTGTGGCCTTGAGACACGCAAAAACATTTTAAAAATTAAACAAACCAAGCTTTGGGGCCCAAGGAGAAAGGAACAATTGTAGTTCAGAACAGTCTTATTTTTCTGTAAGTAAGAGGGGTCCAGCAATAACTTCAACAAAACATGAGTGATTTTATCCCCTACTAAAATTTTGGTCAGAATTAATGATTTTTATCTCAGTAATTTTGATTCCTTATCTGTGCCTTCTCATGGCATTTGAAACACAGTGGAACAAAGAAGAAAGGACAGTATTTGTTCACTCCATTTTTCAAAGAGAATGGTTTAACCCAAGAGCTTCGGGGAGCTGAAGTATGAATTCTGGGCAATTTCTCCTCCAGAACATTCAGTGTGAATTTATTAATGCCAAGAAACCAGCACCACTCCCCCCATTAGACAGTCTTTATGGAAAACAAAGCACAAATCAAAGATAACTTGATAAACACAGAAACCAAACAGGAATGATGATAAACTGGATTATCCCGATGACCATTTGCAGATTATGAATCAAGCCTACAGGTGACAGGTTCTTTCTTTGGCTCACCACCCCGCTGACTGCATCACCAACCGAATATCAAGGTGTAAAGACACTAACATGTGGACATACTCCTGGTCACTAGCGTCAATCATTCAAAGTCTCTTCTGTCCAGCTTTCTAAACACTAGACCCATTATCCTTTTTAGGTCACCCTACGACCTTCTGTCATTACTGTCAGTATCTGTGTATCTGCATTACATGGGTCTTAGTTAACATAAAGACAGATTCACTGTTGGGAGCGAAAATGAACTTAATTAAAAGTTAAGTATATTTCCAAATGAAATACTAAACTGTGGAAAACATAACATCAACTTAGCAGAAAATGTGTATTACAAAGTTTATCAACTTTAAAATCATAGCTCATATAATCTTCAAAGACAATTAAGATCACCAAGAGTAGGCAAATAAAGACTTAAGATTTAAAAATACAAAATACAGATCCTGGTAATAATAATAAACACTGAATACTTACAGTGTACCAGGCACTGCTCTAAGTACTATGCATGAATTAACTAATCCTTAGAACAATCCTAGGACGTAAAGGTCATTAAAGGCCATTGACTTTTACTATTCTCTTAGTACTATGGGTGAGAGATCAGTGTCCCATATTCATTCTGATGATAAATCGTGGAATTGAGATCAGAACCCAGGAGTTCTGGCTCCAGAGTCTTAACCACAACCTCAGCTACCTCTGTATATCTGACAGAGATGAATGCAGCTTATACAAAGATGCATATTATAACACAATTTAAACCAATCGTAAGAGAATCGATTGTGGACATACTGCTACTGCTTGCTACAACTGCATTTTCACCCCAGCTGCACTTGTCGTGAATATTACTCATCTTACAATTTCAAAACCAGCATCAGCCTTCTGTGTACACCTCTATGTACAGTAGAAGTGAAAGAAATACAAACACTTCCTTTCAAATGCTTTATATAACAAAAGGTTATTCTTTCATTTTAAGTGATAACATATGCTAGCTAAAAGATGAAAAATATATTCTACAGGGCCAGGGATTTAGCTCAGTGGTTTCGCCACCTGCTGCGCAAGCGGCAAGAACCCGAGTTCGATCCCCAGTACCAAATATATATATATATATATTTTCATTCTACAATCACAAGAAAGTTACTATCATTTAAATGAACCATATTTAAGTCCATGTGTGTGCATGTGACACTGGGGATCAGACCCGGGCCCTGGGGCAGGGTATGCAAGGCCTCTACCACAGAGCCACGCTTCCATCCTCAGCCCTACTGAAATTGTAAGGTAAATGAACGACTTCCAAATGTTCACTGCACTCATCTTTCTAAAACTGAACCTGCCAGCTCACTTGATCATAGCTGTTTGCTACCTCTATGTGTGTTCCATTCTTTAAGAAACATTCATTCATTAAACCAGCTATGTGGAATAAGTATCAGTTTTATTTGAAACATTAAAGAATTCTCTACATAATACATTTTAAAAGAACATGCCAAACAACTTTCCAGGAAACTACTAATTTCATAATACCACTGTCCTGGGAGGGAGATGGTGTTTGGAAACTGAGTAGAGTTTTAATGAACACAGACTGGTCTCTAGGAGCAGAGGGCACAATTCCAGGGCGTGAAACCTACAACTCACTGAATTTATATTTGCTGAGTAAACAAACTCAGCAGTGGCTCCACACCTCACTTTACCATTTATCACATGATTTTAATGAAGTCACTTAACCTCTCTGAGCCACGATTTTATCATCCGCAGCTGTAGCTTCTCCCCGTTCACAGGGCTCCTTCTGGATAAGCAAAGGAAGCCAGCTGCAGCCCAGACGGACAGGCTGGTGCTGCTAGGACGGGGGCGCAGCTCAGGAAGGAGCACCTGCCCCACACACATGAGGCTCTAGGTTCAACCCCCATTCCTGTCCTCAAAGAAGTGTCCTTTTCACCTTATCATATGCCTTCTAGCCCTCCCCATGGCAGCAATGAGCCTGGCACACAACATACATTTGCAAAATGTGACCAAAACAAACAAGAAACTCTGTAAGACATCTCACCCTCTTCCACACCTGTGAACAAATTTCCATCAGACTAATTGCAACTGTTAAATTCTAGCCAAATGATTAAGACAGTTCTTAAAATCCATTTTCTTGGCATTTTAAAAAGAATATCAATCAAGGAAAGGAACAAACCCAGGACATTTTACATGTTCTAAGGCTGTAGTGAACTGGTAATTTAACTAAAATAAAAATAAAATTCTATACATGTTTTATGTTTAAACACTTTTAAATAATTAGCAAAAATATTTTTTGCCAGAAAGACCCCCCACACACATACTGCTATATGGAAGTTGTTTAATATCCTCAATGTAAATAAATTTTATGCAGAATTTTGAACATGTAAATTTAACGCAAAATACCTAAGCGGGTCCTGCCAAAAATTTAATCTAGAAAGTTATATTGATGCTAAGTGAGACAAGAATAGGAACATCTCACTAATGTACTTTACTTTAAATTTCCTTTATTAATGTGGGAAGTACAAAAAATATTAGAAAAAGACAGTGCTTCAATTAAGTCAACTTTGTGTATCAGAATTTGTTCTTCCAAATTTTATACTACCATTTTTAGTACAAAAATCTGTTAATATGATAGGCAAAACAGTGTCATATTTAAGTACTTCTATACTCAATTACTAGTATTTTAAACACTGTAAGGCACAGATATTTACATTTTCGTTTATAAATTACCTTTGAATATTTTATATTGTGAGCTGAGCATTTTTCTTAATTTGCATAAAAACCTTTGTCTCAATTGGTATTTTAATTAAATGTTCGGATCATTTATTATAACATTATGAATTTGCTAACTCTGGAATTTATCTAATTATGATATAAAGTTAGAATATAAAATGATCTTGCACCCCAAAGATGATGTATTAAATAACCCACCACTTCCTTCGCTGATTTGTGAGGACTCCTGCATGTCTATACTGTATCTTTGCACATGAGTGAGTCCCACTTTGCTTGAACTCTGTTCTACTGATCTATTTTGGGACAACTATTTTCACCCCACCGAAGCCACTCACCAAGAGGCCCACTACTCCACTGTAACCCTGCCTAGAAGGGCACTGTCTCCTCTCCAAGCGCTCTGCATTCCACCACCAGCCCCATTCTAGCTTACTTCCATCTGCCTCTCCGGAGACCCTTCCCAACTCAGGGGGCCTTCGCTCTGCAGGACTCTGCTGCCTTCTGGGTCGGGTTCTCATATCTCCTGTCTTTATTTCCCTCGTATCCAGCCTGCCTGCCTGCCTATCTATCTATCTATCTATCTATCTATCTATCTATCTTAGTCCGTTATTTCCAGTGTATTTAATCAACACAGCTTTACTGAATGCTGACAATTTCTTGGCACTTACTGAGCAGTGCAGAAAAACACCAGCCTTTCTGCAGCTGTCATTCTAGTAAGCAGACAGACAAAAAAGTAGCATCATTTCAGTCAGAATCCAGGAAGAAGGTGAAAGGACTAGCCGAAAAAGACACCAAAATGCAGCATCTTCTTCACAGACAATAAAATAAGGGAAGAGTAAATTAAGGGAAGCACTCTTTCAGGAGATGAGCTTGAAAATGAAGGCAGAAGAGAATCAAGCTACGAGGAAATCTTTCAGGAGGTCGCAAAGCTGCGCTGGTAGAAAAAGCGCGCCATGCTGCTCCACATGTCTTTGTATGGCACTCATTTAGTAAAGCTTCAGTCCTGGTTAAATCAAACCCTCGCTTTCTATGTGCTTACTGTGAAGAAAATTACTTAACACAAGCAAAGGAAAGACTTTGTGTTTAAGGCACACAACTCAGTTGAGCCTTCTCTGATCAAGAGATTCTCCTGCTCCCTGCAACTACTGCTTCAAAACTTCTCTCCCTGAAACGCTACCCTAGAACCTTCGCAAGCTCAATAAAGAAACCCTTCAGGGAAAACACAGAAGCTCAAAGGCAAGATCTCTCCGCTACCAACCTCTCCACTCCAACACCACCAAGATGCACCCACTTCTTCTATGGCCCACCATGCCTTCCTGTTCTTGGGTTCGTCTCCTCCCACCGGGTGAGCAACACCCTTCCGCTCGTCTCTCTCCTGTACAACAACGTTCAGTTGTGATGTCTGCGCCCAAAGGAATGGCCTCCTCCCAAGTGAGGACCAGACTGGTACCAGGGGGCTGCCACAGGAGGAAGCTGCACATCCCGAGTTACACCAGAAGAAACCAGACGCCTGACAGTACAGAAACGCAGTGAAGGTTCAAATGTGAGATGGGAAGCCAAACCAGCCCACCCGAGAGCCTCTCACCCTAAGCCCTGATTGGAGGAGGGTAAAAGTGGTCTACTGAGAAGCTCTACTGTGTATCACCTGCTGCAGCGCCCACAACTAAGCCCTCAGATGAACCTATGGTTTCCCTCCTGAAGGACGAACACAGGCAACTACCTGTCACCAGGTCTGAAAGCAACAGTCTGGACCCAGCTGAGAGAGTCAGAAGGGTGTGCAGGCCCCTCCATCTGTAAGCAAAGACCACACAGGACCCGGCCGCCCGCTCCCGCCACGTCAGAGGGTCCTGAGGGAGAGCCTGCGCCACTCTGGTCTCCCGGACACCCTGACGCCAGCGAGGGATGGCAGTATGCCAGCAAGATTCCACAACCTTGTCCAGCCTGCTCAGCAGCAGCAGCAAACCAGAATCCCTCCAAAACGCACCCTGCCTCCATGAGTTACCTAAAGGAGCTTTTGGTTACTGTGAATTTACAGCCTGTGCTTCCAATCGAGTTCTCATGTTTGCTGAGAGCACTGATAACAATAACTGCTCTAATCTCATTATACCCCCATAGATCTTCAAACTATACAAGAACCATTTCAAGGTTTAGAGGACAAGAACTTTGCCTGTGATGTCTCAATTAATATGAGCTGAAGCACATCTTTACTGACACTGTTCACTGTACAAGGGTACTCAAGTGTGTTTTTACAATTATCTCCCAGAAAGGGGGCACAGCCATGCGTGTGTACCCAACAGAGGGAAAATCACCCTGGCCTGCTGCCTTCTCTAACCCTAAACAGGCTCACTGCCCAAAGAGTTCATGGTAAGTTAACACTGTATGTTTCAAAATACAAATCTGCAAAGTCACATTAAAGAGGCAGCAATTATATCTTACTGCAAAATAGTAAGTTCTTAATCTGCCAAGAATGTTTAAATGATTATGCTTATAGCTAATAAAATATTTTTTAAAAAATACTTTTAGGACTGTTTTAAATATAAAGTTACTAGTTAGTAACTATAGTAATTATAGAAAAGTGTGTACTTCCACAATGAATGTAATCATGTACTACAAGAATGTACTAGTAAAAATACTACAAGGTTTAAAATTAAAAGAAAATTTAATTCCTATGATCTGCTAATTTAGAACTTAACATGTCTTGTACATAGCACTTTAATTGTTCATTTATGTTTCGTTAAAATTTTCAAAAAGGTTGGGGTATAACTGGAAAAGAAGGAAGGGAAGAGGGGCCCGGGAAGAGAAGGAAGGCAGGTCACTAACAAGGCAGATTTGCTATAAAAGCTTAAGTGTGTCGTTTTCTAATCAAGAGTCATAAACCTACTAACAGCTACAGTCAAATGCATAAAACATTTAAAGTTAAAGAGAATTCCACTGCAGCCACTTCATTTAGAATTCTGCTAGAAGAAGAGGCGAGTACAATTCGATAGTTCCACTCCCTAAACAAGTACACATACAACATGCTGTGTGTATGCACGAAGCATAACAATTTATATTTCACATACACACATGCACATACAATCCTCGCTGTCTATCAACTGAGAGTCGATGGAGATGAACCGGACGCCAGGGAAGACATCTTTGTACCTGGTAAATATCCGAGAGGCTGCTGCTTCCAGAGTCGCTGGTGATGCTACATCCTGAGTGGCTGGAAGAAACGTGAGCCACCTGTGGGTGCAGACTGTCCGCGAGCTGCAGCTTTGTGAAATCTGCAGGGAGCTGGGAAGGAGTGCGGAAAGCTAGGGTTACACTCTGAACCGAGATCGTCACGAAGAGGCCGGAATGGCACAACACCGTATTCTAGTCCAATCATCTGAGCCAAAATATTATTAGGAAAGATCCTTCATTTCAAATTCGAAATGAACCCTCAATACTATCCTATTTACCAATCACAAAGTAAAATTTTAATGTTTATGGGAATGCAGTGAACTTTAAATAACCCTAAACCCAGTGCTTGAGTGGGTGGGTTTGGTGATGAAGATGAACTTGGGCTAGCACTTAATTCAGTGAGATACAATGTGCTTTTTCTACACGTCAACGAGCAATTAAAACACTACACTAGCAGTTGGCAATAACATGCAACTTTGTGGCAAGAAACAGCTTAGATAAGAGGGCAGTTTAAAGGTTCTTTTAGGATCAAAAGACGTTTAACGGTTTTTACAAACGAGCATCTTAGAATCAATAAACACAATGTCATAAAAGTAACTATAGCAGTCCATATATTCACACACACATACATATAGACATAAATATTTATCAGTGTTCTACTTGTTCATGTTTAAATAAAAATAGCCTCCATTGAAACAAATAAGACTAAGGATCCTTCAAATGCTGGAACACTTCTCATATATTCAGAGAAAATGATTTTAAAAGGAAACATTCACACATTCGTTCATTCAACAAATATCTGTGGACCTCTTTCTTACTGTGTGCTAGTTAGTTTGTGAGACTGTAAGAAAATACTGCCCTCAAGACTCTTACACTCCTTTCAGTTATTACCAATCTTTTAAACTGAAAAGGGGGGGGACTGCATTTATTTATATACCCTTACACTACTATCTAGTAATCCATACAACATTCCAAGACACACGCTATCTGGCATCATTAGATACTAACAACATTCTCTCCTTTCTGCCTGCATACTGATCCTATTTAGCTAGTAAATAATAAACACAAGGATTTATGTTAAAACTTAAATAAGGGTTTACCTTAGTAACATTCCACCTCTCATTTGACCTTTATCCCCTCTACCCCTCCAAAAAATTGATGGTATTCCAGAAGTTAAAGTAAGCCTCACAAGGAAGCTGATGTGGGTTTATGACAATGATCAAATGGGTTTTGCTACCTCAAAGCTCCAAACAAATAGGCAAGATACATTTGTACCCCACATTCACCCAGACCCGGCTCTATGAACACATTACACCATTCCCCATCTTAAGTAGGATATTTAACACTATCTGCAGACAATCTGTTCAGAAATATGTTTTAACTTCATGGGATACAAGGTACACAAAAGATTTAAACATGAATTTACTAGGGGGCTTTTGATTAGATGCCACATAAAGAGATAAAACATCTTAGGTTGAAGGAGCCGGAAGATGTTCCATCAAATGTGTTAAAATCACTGCAAATGTAACCTCTCTCACCAAGAGAGTGTTCTCTTCTTAAACAGATCACTGAGGATGTGAAATAGTATAAAATTTAGGAGAACAGCAATTTCTCTATAATAAATTAAAAGGCAAACACCTCTAAATTCAGAATTTATCTGTTTTATTCATAATGCAGACTAGGGAAACATTTGCAGGATTTCTTCAGGAACGATTTGAAGACAGATGTTCACAGACATGTATAAGGACTATGGTTTTACATGGAGCTAAGTGATGGCTATTAGATATTAAAATGATGTGTTTGTTCATAGCCCAGATAACTATCCTTCACCACCCAGCTACACTTCCATTTAATTCAGTCACTGACTGCAACTGGGGAAGCTTTACAGCTCAGGGATTTTAAAAGGCATCAATCAATACGTGTAATTACAGAACAATAAATAGATTTCTAGTGACTCTCCTTTACAGTTATGACTTGGGCCAACATATGTCACACACCCTGGCTCTTTTTCAACTAACCTCATGTCTAATAAACTTCTTTCACTGAGAGTTTTTTTTTTTTTTTTGGTACCAGGGATCAAACTCAGGACCTTTCGCTTGCAAGGCAGGCGGCAGAACCACTGAGCTAAATCCCTGGCCCCACTACGAGATTTTTTTAAGTTGTGTCAGACTTTCGCCGAGTGGAGAGGACACCCTCAGGGCAGACACAGGGCCCAGCACACCCACTGTGCACTCACTCATCTATGCCCGACCACCACAGATGGCTCTCAACACACAACTGGAAAGACTGTCAAAGAGAAAGCAATCTTTCACTCTGCAAATGGGGTTTTATGTAATGAACACTGAGTACTTGCTATGTGAGGTACTCTGCTAGAGGCAGAGAATAAACAGGTGAGTGAGCCACTCCAAATTCCAAATGTAGGAAAAGTTATAATGATAGGCAGTAATAAGCAATAGAAAAATCACACCCTGTTTTTAAACATTTTGTTTTCTCCCCTTTCCCCCCCACTTGTGTCTTTTATAAAATGGCATGCAATGATGTATTAAACTTAAGAGTAAATACACAAATAACTAGCATTAACTGAGTGTTTCTTTATGTAAGAAATGTAAGAATACACCTCATGTCCATGAAACCTTAAAGCCTCTTTCCATAAATCAGGAAAACAAACTTCATTCCATTTACCGACAGTGGACACGGCCAAGGTCCCAGGCAGGAAGCCCTAACCGGTGCTCCCATGAGCAGGGGAAGAGCTGAGAGGGCCCATCTGGCCCCTGCCACGCGTGACAGGATGCAAAAGTAGCTAGAAGCCCAGGTCTAAAGAAACGGGGGTTTTTAAGAGGCAAAAACAAAAATCAACACTAAATAAATAAATAAATAACTTTTCCACCCTCAGTGATGAACTAGCTGAGAAAGAAATCAGGAAAATGATTTCATTTACAATAACTTCAAACAACAGCAGCAGCAGCAACAACAAACCATGAGGGGCCCACCTAACCAGGAAGTAAAAAGTCTCTAAAGGAAAATTATGGAACACTGATAGAAGAACCTGAAGAAGACAAAGAAGATGGAAAGACCTCCTGTGTTCACAGACTGGCAGAGTCAACATTGCTAAAACAGGCGTATTACCAGGAGTGATCTACAGATTCAATGCAATTCACATTAAAATTCCAATGACATTCTTCACAGAACTAGAAAAAAAAACAAACCTGAAACTCACAAAGAAACACCAAAGAGTCAGAATAGCCAAAGCAATCCGAGGCAAAAAGAACAAGGCTGGAGGTGTCCCAATCCCCAGTTCCAATTACGCTACAAAATTTTCTGGGCTCGCTGGCACACACCTGAAATCCTACTGCTCGGGTGGGCTGAGGCAAGAGGACCACAGGTTTTAATCCCCCCCGGGCAACTTACCAAGACTCTGCCTCAAAATAATGTTTTTAAAAATGAAAAGGGTCTGAGGATGTAGCTTTGTGGCAAAGTGTGCATGGGTTTGATCTCCAGCATCACTCACACACACACACACACACACCCCAATCACAAATTATACTACAAAACCATAATGATGAAACCAGTCTGGTGCTGACAAAGCAAGAGACCAAGGGATGAGAAGACAGACACAAACCCACACTAATACAGCCATGCGATTCTTGACAGAGGAGTCGGAATTACACACTGGGGAAAAGACACTCTCTAACAAATGGTGGTGGGAAAAGTGGATGGTCATATGTAGAAGACAAACTGCATTTCAATCTCTCACTGTGTACGAAAATCAATTCAAAATGGATCAAAGACCTAGGAATAAGACCTTAAAGTCTGGAACTGTGAGAAGGAAACAGGAAACACTTGAAGGCACAGACAAAGATGTCTCAACAGGACTCCACAGGTACAGGAAATAGCAAGAACCAACAAGTGGGGCTGCATTAAATGAAAAAGCTTCTACACATCCAGGGAAACAATCAACAGAGTGAAGAGACCTACAGGATGGGAGAAAATCTTTACCAACTACTCTTCTGAAAGAGTAATATTCAGAATAAAGAATTCAGACAAACTTAACACCAAAAAACCCACAAATAGCCCAATCAATAAATGGGCAAACGACCTGAACAGACTTCTCAAAAGAAATGCAAATGGCCCATCAGTATATGAAAAAGTGTTCAAAATCTTTAGCCATTATGGAAATGCAAATCAAAACCACTGAGATTCATCAGACCTCAGTGGGAATGGCCATCATCATGAGTACACAAAACAGGGCCAGGGATTTAGCTCAATGGAGCCGCACATGCCTCGCAAGCACAAGGTCCTGAGTTCGATCCCCGGTACCAAAAAAATGAGTACACAAAGCAATAAATTCAGGGAAGGATTCGGAGAAAAAGGAACCCTTTGGCACTGCTGGTGGGTGTAGTCAGTAGAGTCCCTAAGGAAATCAGTGCGGAGCTTCAAAACACTGAAATCAGAGCTACTGCATTAGCCAGTAGCTCTGCAAGATTTACAGCAGAAGAAATTAAAAGCAGCACACTCTTGGAATATCTGCATTCCCTTGTTCACTGTGCCACAATTCACAACAGCCAAGGTATGGCTGCAGCCAGAACCCCATCAAGATGAATAAACAAAACATGGTACTAAAAACAGAGGTGAAGGAAGCCTGAGAAGGGGGGTGGAGGCAGACACAGGGCACGCAGGTGCCCAGGCTCATGCTGCCGGTGACCCTCGTGGGGCGACTCCATCTGAGCAACAGCAAGACCTTTTGGAAGGTGCAGCATGATGAGGTTTGCTGCTCCAAGTTCTGTCCCAAGCCTGCCCAGCGCCAGTTTAAACTGCCACTGCTGTGCTACTGAATTAAACTCCTGATTAAAATGCGGCTGGGCAAGCACAAGGTCCTGAGTTCGATTCCCTGTACCAAAAATAAAATAGTAAAATAAAGTAAAATGGAGCTGGGGATTTTTATTCTAGCCTCCATTTATAACAGAAATTCTGTTCAGAAAATAGGAAAATAAATAAACCCGGGACTATACATGGTCACTGATAACAGTAATGCAATAAATAGGAAAATTAACACATTTTATACATTTTGATATAACACCAATATATACCCCAGCAACTTACTAATGACACAG